TATATTATTTAATAGTAAATGTTAAATAATAAAATATATAGTGTTGTTTAATATAGAGTAATCATATTATTTAACGAATAATGTTAATTAATGCATATAATGGTGTATAATAATACCTTCAAAACTTCCTGATATACCACTTTGTCTTTTTGATTAGTTTTCCAAAGAAAAGAGGTCTACTTTTCTAAAACAATTAGAGTTAAAAAGGTATTTTTGAGAAATTTATATTTGTACTATGTTTGGATTGTTAATCATTATATAATCATTAAAGTCAAGATAATACTTTATTCTTGTCTGTAAATTGATACTACTAAAAAATGAAAATTTTATTCATGTTAAGATCTTCCACTTCTGTATGTGCCATCTAAACTTAAGCATTGTATTGTCTACATCAGATTTGAACTAAGTGAATTTTTCAACCTAATTCAAGGTAATAATGTTATTTTGGACTATTGTTGACTTTTCAGTAAGGGGTACTTGATATTTAAGGGAATATTATTTCTTATTTTACTTAGTGTTGGCTCATTAAAATATTTATAAATACTCAATAATGTTTGTTTATTAAAAGAGATGAACATAAGGCAATTATTTTTATCAAAAGTCTGAAAATGGAGAATTCTAATGCAATACTTCGACTTGGATATCGTTATCTAAATGGAATTAGGGTTGAGATTACCACTATAAAGCAAATAATTATTTCAAACAATCTGCAAACATGGGATATTAGCAAAATAAACTTTTTTGGATATTGTAATCGAAATGGAATTGAAACTATGAGAAACTTAAGAAAGCCAATTTTTGGTATCAGAAATAATATTATGATTTTATTCTTGTTTTCTTAATATGAATATATTTTTCACAATGCATACTTTTAATTAATTTTATTAGGGAAAATTAGACTATTAGATTATTTTATTTTATTTTTAAAAATAAAAGGTCATATGAAAATGATAGTAATGAATATTTAAAGAAAGTTTTTAATGAAAATAAGGTGGATTTCTTATAATGAATTCGAAGATATTAAAAGATAGGACGATAAATTATTATTTACAATATACATATTATTCATTTTTTTGTTGCTTTTTTTTTGGCATTCTTACACTAATACTATTTTTTTTTGGCTGCCCTGTTTTTTTGAAATTGTTTTAGCATATTTGTTGACTGGGATTTTTTTGGTCTCTTTTGCCATTTGGGATGCTGGTTTTTTTTGTGTTTAGAAATTATAGACAGCATGGGAAAATACTTGTTGCATGTTGGATAGCAGTGCTGAGAATAATTATTTGCACTAATAATAGATGGACAGTGCTCATCATATCCAGGTAATTTTTTTTATTATAATATTTGAGCATGTGTGTGAGATTTAACTAATGCTCATCTTTGCCTTTAATTATAGGAGGAAGGAATCCTCCATTCTCAGCAAGCAGAATGTCAACCTCATCCAAATGCTTAGGAGAACAACAAAACAAGTTATTACATTTTTTGATATCTAAAGAATATTTACATATTCTCAAATGTTTTTCTATCCAATTTCAGGGAACAGAGTCGATAACTTTACCATCAAATTCTGGAAACGTAATGTCACTGATGTTGGGATGGTAAAAAAAAAAATTAAAATATTTTAAAACGGGTAATGATTAAATTCTGAATAGTTAGCATCCCCTACCTAAATGAATTAATATTTTTATCAATATAGCATGTAGCAACTAGCTTTCCAAATAGTGGGTCACGATTCCACAAGTCACGTAGTGTATTTTCTGCATAACTAAAGTTTTTTGTAGCAAGCTCTAGATCGATTACTTGACCTTGTGAGTTTAAGTGTAACCCTAATAATTATTATTTAAATTTATTAATATCTAATAAACTATTGATAATAGTAATATGAGGAATATCGGCTAGGTATCTTCAGAATGTAGACAATAAGATAACATTGAATATGAATCTCTTATTAGGATCAGAAAAAAGAGATCGAATCGAATTCGAATAACTTTCAATAGATATTTAAATGGTGGGGGAAGTTTGGTATCTTTCAGAATTTTTCAAAGTTAGCCTCGGCTCGAGATTTTTCATCGGCCCATATTACTAATTAATAACCTCATTATTAAATTGTTTTACCATATTTGTCTACTGGTAAAACTATCTCTGCAAGCTTTTTAGAAAGTGATGCCATGCTATACTCAACTGGATTATAAGCAGAATATCCAGGTATATAAGTTCTGACTGTTAGATAGTCAATATTGAAGGCCCGAAACATCTTGCAATATTTTAGATGTCGCAAATTTTCATCTGGGCCTCCATCAGCAAGGATAACCCAGATGGGTCGAACTTGACTATTTTTTTTAAGGATATCGCTATACTGACAGTCTTGGACTAGAGAGTCTAGGTCACTTATATAGTTGTTAAACTTGTACCAACTCTGTATTGGGGGCGCACAAATATGGAAAGTTGCCTATTATGAAGTGTATTGTTGGTGTCATTTGGGTCCATTAATAGATAAACGAATGGAATAAGTTTTTGCTGCGCCCCTACTTGGAAGTCGTAATCCAGAATTGATACTAGCTCATTAACACTTTGAATAACTTGAAAGCTTTTTTCTACCACCAGGATTCCAAGAGAAACTTTTGCCTTGTCATCTTGTAAAATAATCACAAAATGATTAAAAAATAAGGCAGCAAATTGTTTTGCTACCTTGACAGAGGCAAAGCAGTAGTGGATATCCAGGTGATTTGTTCTTTTATTTTTTGAAACCAATGCAACCTGGACATTAAAAATTAACAAAAATTAATTTTCTTATTATAGTAAATTAGGCTATACAAAGTTTGATTTTTCGTTTTGCATTACCCGGCATCCCATTTTTTTAATTTTTTAAAAAAATTTTTTTTTTTTTTTAGATCTCAATTATGCCAATTGTTCATTTTTTGACATCTATTTTTTCCCACTATTTTTATCCAGTATCACCCAATGGAGACCTTGATTTTCCATAATTGTTCTATAGAACTAACAGGAAAAATATGACTGCTGGCCCAATTTTTTGATTCTTTGTTATCAAATATAACCTTAAATATGATTATTATTCTATTTTCAGTAAATTAAATTAAAAAAAAATCCGTCTATTCATTCCTAATTATGAAATCCATGTAATGCAAAACGAAAAATCAACTTTGCATAGCCTTATATACAGTCATCCTCTTCTATAATCACAGTTTGTTTTATATAAAAAAAGATATAATTATAAAATATTAACAGCAATGTGATTATATTAGTAATATATTGTCAATAATTTTTCAAAAAATGGTGCTTATAAAGAGGGTGCGACTATAGAAGATGACTGTAAAGGAGGACGACTGTATTTTAATTTTATATGAAATACATATTTATTTTAAATTATATGTTATAACTACTAATAATAATTATTATGGGGTTTTTTTTTTGTAAAGGTTTGATCTATACCTGAATATTCACCGGGTGGTGATGTGCTTTTGCTGTCTTAGAATTTGAGTGGCGTGGGAGCAGGTAAGCATTTAAAGTAGTATGAGAAACATACTCATTATATTTTAACTCAAGTTCTTCATGTAAGTCATTAGGAAGTTTTGAAGGTGTAGGTTTACGCGTTAATTAATAGTATACTATTAATTAATGCAATTACTCTATATTAAATAATGCAATAAACTGTATAAACTAACACATACTATTAAAAACTGACAAATGCTATCATTATATGCTGTTTTATAATTTAGTTGTTTAACAAATTTTGCATTAATTAACACTTACTGTTAAAAAACTGACAAACACTATTAT